TAAAGAAGAGTTAATGCCTATCCTTCTCAAACTATTCCAAAAAATGGAAGAGAAAGAAAGGAGTGCTTTCAGCCTCATTATATGAGGTCGGTGTAACCCTGATACCAAAACCAGACAGACACCACAAAAAAAGAAAATCATATGTGAATATCACTGATGAACACAGATGAAAATATCTTCAACAAAATATTAGCAAAACAAATCCAACAATAAAAGGATCATATACCATGATCATGTGGGATTTACACCAGGGACGTAAGGATGCTCCAATATCTTCAAATCAATCAATTAGATATAGCACATTAACAAACTGAAGAATAAAAACCATATAATTGTCTCAATAGATGCAGAAAACGCTTTTGACGAAATTAAACATTCATTTATGATAAAAACTCTTACAAACTGGGTATAGAGGGAACGTACCTCAACATAATAAAGGCCATATATAACAAACTTACAGCCAACATCATACTCAATGGTGAAAAGCTGAAAGCATTTCCTCTAAGATCAGGAACAAGCAACAATGCCCATTCTCACCACTTTTATTCAACGTAGTACTGGAAGTCCTAGCCATGGCAATCAAACAAGAGAAAGAAATAAAAGGAATCCAATTGGAAAGGAAAAAGAAAAACTGTCACTATTTGCAGGTGACATGATACTATATATAGAAGATCTTAAATATGCTCACCAAAAAAAATCTATTAGAAGTGATAAATGAATTAAAGTTACAGGATATAAAATTAATATACAGAAATCTGTTGCATTTCTATAAATATTAACAAAGTATCAGAAAGAGAAATTAAGAAAACAATCCCATATACAATTGCTCAAAAAGATTAAAATACCTAGGAATAAACCTAACCAAAGAGGTAAAAGACCTGTACTCAGAAAACTATAAGATATTGATGAGAGAAACTGAAGATGACACGAAGAAATGGAAAGACATACCATACTCATGGAGTAGAAGAATCAATATTTTAAAAATGATCATACTACCCAAGGCCATCTACAGATTCAATGCAATCCCTATCAAAATACCAATGGCATTTTTCACAGAATTAGAACAAATAATCCTAAAATTTGTATGGAAACACTAAAGACCCAGGACAGCTAAAACAATCTTGAGAAAGAACAAATCTGGAGGTATGACACGCCGTGATTTCAAACTATACTACAAGGCTACAGTAATCAAAACAGTATGGTACTTGCACAAAAACAGACACATAGATCAATGAAACGGAATAGAGAGCTCAGAAATGAATTCACACTTATATTGTCAATTAATCTCTGACAAAGGAGGCAAGACTATACAATGGGGAAAAGGCAGCCTTTTAAAATAAATAGTGTTGGGGAAACTGGACAGCTACCTGCAAAAGAATCAAACTGGACTACTTTCTCATGCTCTTTACAAAAATAAACTCAAAATGGATTAAAGACTTAAATGTAAGACCTGAAACCATAAAACTTCTAGAAGAAAATGAACATACACAGTATGCTCTTTGGCATCATTCTTGGTAATATTTTTTATATTTCTCCTCAGGCAGGAAAAACAAAAGCAAAAGTAAACAAGTGGGACTACCTAAAGCTAATAAGCTTTTGCACAGTGAAGGAAACGATCACCAAAGCAAAAAGGCAGCCTACTGAATGGGAGATGATATTTTCAAATGATATATCTGCTAAGGGGTTAATATCCAAATACACAAGCAGCTCATACAACTCAACATCAAAAAAACAAACAACCTGATTAAAAATGGGCAGAGGGTCTGAATAGACATTTTTCCAAAGAAGACATACAGATGACCAACAGGCACATTAAAAAAAGATCAACATCTCTAATTATTATGTAGATGCAAATCAAAACCACAGTGAGATATCACCTCTCACCTGTCAAAATGGCTATTAACAAAAAAGACAAGAAATAACAATAGTTGGAGAGGATGTAGAGAAAAGGGAACACTTGTGTACTGTTGGTGGGAATGTAAATTGGTGTAGCCACTATGGAAAACAGTATGGAGATTCCGCAAAAAATTAAAAATAGAACTACCATACAATCCAGCAATTCCACCTCAGGGTATTTTTCCAAAGAAAATAAAAACACTAATTCGAAGAAATACATGCACCCCTATGTTCGTTGCAGCATCATTCACAATAGCCAAGATATTGAAGCAACTTGTGTCCAGTGATAGATGAGTGGATAAAGATGTACATGTGTATAATGGAATTTTACTCAGCCATAAAATAGAATGAAATCTTGCTATCTGCAACAACATGGATGGACCTACAGGGTATTATGCTAAGTGAAATAAATCAGACAGAGAAAGACAAATACTGTTTGATTTCAGTTATGTGTGGAATCTAATAAACAAATGAACAAAAATAAAAACAGGGAATTCCCTGGTTGTCCAGTGGTTAGGACTCTGTGCTTTCACTGCCAAGGGCCCGGTTTCAATCCTGGTCAGGAACTAAGATCCCACAAGCCCTGTGGTGCAGCCAAAAGAAATTTAAAAAGAAACAAATTAAAACACCTTGGGACTTCCCTGGCAGTCCAGTGGTAAAGAATCCACCTTCCAACGCAGGGGACATGGGTGGAATCCCTGGTTGGGGAACTAAGATCCCACATGCCACGGGGCAACTAAGCCCGTGCGCCACAACTACTGAGCTCGCACACCTCAACGAGAGAGCCCATGTGCCGCAAACTACAGAGCCCACGCACCCTGGAGCCGGCACGCCACAACTAGAGAGAAGCCCACATGCTGCAACTAGACAGAGAAGTCCGCGCTCCACAATGAAGATCTGATGCAGTCCCCCCCCAAAAAAATAAAATAAATAAAAAATAGTTTTAATAAAAACTTTGTTTTTTAAAAAAACATTTTAATTAACAAACAAAAACAGAAGCAGTCTCAGAGATACAGAGGACACACTGGTGGTTGCCAGAGAAGAAGGGAGTTTGTGGCGGGGGTGAGTGAAATTGGTGAAGGAGATTAAGAGGTACAAACTTTCAGTTCTAAAGTAAATTAAGTCACAAGGATGTAATGTATGGCATAAGGAACATAATCAATAATACTGTAATAACTTTGTATGGTGACAGATGCTAACCAGACTTACCGTGGTGATCATTTTGCAATGTATAAAAATACCCAATCACTATGATGTACACTTGAAACTAATATAATATTGTTAAGTGAATTACACTTGAATAAAACAATTTGGATCTTGTGATCTCTCCCTTTGCACTCTAGGACACACACATGCGCTTTTAAGTAGGCAAGGTATCAAAATTTCTCTTTCGGATTTTTCCATGTCTCCATTCTGGCACTGTCTCTTCCTGCCCCAGGCAGCTAGTGCACTTTTTTTTTTTAACATCTTTATTGGAGTATATTAATTCCACCAGGTAACATTTTAGAGAGTTTATGCTGTCTGGCACAATGCCCCCACCTGTTCCCATGGAGGCTTCTCATCCTGACAGTGCCCTATGCTCTATTTTCACCTCTCCAACACATTCTGTCTTATGGCCCAATTCCAAATGGCTATTCTCTTAGTTCCCAGTTAACTGAAAAAAGAATATTGCTAAGATACTTATTGGTTTCATTATCGAGCACAGGCTCAGTGAGAATATAGCCTTTCTGATAGCAGCCCAGGAGGAACCATCTCTCAGGGCACCTCTTTCTTCCGATGATGGAGCAACCTGTTTCACCCTCCACTGGTTGTGTACTAGTCTCTTTATGTTATTCTGCCCACAATTCCCTACCTTTAGATCTCGCAACAATTCTGCCCTTGGTAGACAGCCCACTGCCTCTATTTAGCTCAGACCTTCATCACCTCATGTCTGAGCTATCCTAATAATAGCTCATTTTTATCAACTGCTTACTAAGTGCCAAACACTGCTAGAGAAGCTTGACACAATTTAATCCTCACATAACCCTTTGAGATGAATACTATTCTTGCCCCCATTTTACTGACAAGGGACCTGAAGCACGGTAACTAGAGTCACCTGGCTAACAAGTAGCAGGGCTGGGACACAAACTCAGGGAACCTTGGCCTCACATTTAACAGTCATACCATAAGACTTCTTTAACTAGAACGAGAACATAAAAACAGAGCCTATGGCAACAGCTTCTGTCTCCATTTTTTTGTTGTTGTTTGGAAGATAAAGCCATCACAGCTCCAGGAAGTGAGTCCCTGTGAAACAACGTAGCCAGAGGTTTCTTGAAGTTGTTGGTCCTTGAAGGGTGAATGCAATTCAGACAGGAAGAGAGAGCAGCAGTGGGTATTTCAGGCTCGGGGGCATGACATGTGCAAAGGTAAAAAGTGAGAATGCTCCAGTTGTGTGCAGACCAAACTGCAGGAGCAAAGGGTTCCTATGGGAGAAAGTTGGAAGCCCAACGGGAGAGGCATGTTAGGGCCAGGCTAGTGCAGTCTTGAATGCCAAGTTTAGGCATTTGAATCTCATGAGTAAGCCAGTGGTCTCCACACTGTGTTCCCTGAGGCCCAGGAAAGAAGGGAGGCTACATTTTTTGGAGCATGTTTACTTTTATTTGCTTTTCATTTTGGGGTTTCAGCTACCTAATATTTTGCTTGAAAAAAGCATCCCCGTAGTAATTGGAAACCAAAGAACAAACAAATGAACAAACAGACTTTGAAAACTACTACCCCAGGCAATGGAAAGCCAGCTATGGTTTTTGACCATTGGTATGACATGACCGGAACGGTGTTTTAGAAATATATTCTGCCGATATAATGTAGGGTAGACTAAAGGAGATAATGAGTAGGGGGACCTGCTAGGACCTTGTGGTAAATGTTTAAGTTGACAAGGCCAGTGGCAGTGGGAATGGTTAGAAAAAGGATAGATGTTTGGAACATTCCAAAGGATATACATAGAGCATGGTTAATACAGCATGATAACTGACAGGATGTGAGAGTCAGAAAGGAGTGACATCTCTAAAAAGGATATTTCAGCTGGTAAGGAAATATGTGGGGTCAGAGAGACCATTCCAACGTGCCTCAAACCATAACGTGTTGGGTGAGCTGCGCTTCTGACTCCTCAGAAGAGAAAACCGGCCTCTATTTGGTTTTCTGGAAAGAAAAACAAACTGACACATTCATCTTTAAGAGTGAGTTGGGCAAAATAAGGGACTATTTTTCAGGACTACTCAGACACCAGTTACCAGATATTCCTGTCTGACAAGAAGAGATTCCCTTGGGGGTCCTTAATGGTGAGAAACAAGCTTAGAGAGGAGAAATGTTCTTATAAGCCTGTACCGTCAATGAAGAGCAATAACTGTTTTAGATTGGGCTCCAACAAATTGAGCTTGGGAGCTACAGGGCAGCAACCCGATTTAATTCTATAGTCTCTAGAGCACCTAGCACATTACTGATGTTCCATCAGTGTTAAATCAGCCATGGAAAGAAACATAGCTCCGTATGCCTAGAGTAAGAGAGAAACTGGGTTAGGCCAAATGAGACTCAGGCAGAGGCCTAATGAGAAATGGAATTAAGATCTCATGTTATACCCCTTTTCTACAAGTGGAATGAACACTGGATGGGGGATCCCAAATTCAAGGCGGTTGCCAATTATGTATGTGACTTTGGATGAGTCATTTACTTCTCCAGGCTTCATTCTCTCTGTTGTCAAATGAGGAGAGTGATACCTGTCATACAAGGCTGCTGGAAGGGTGGAATTAGATTTTTTAAGTGCTTTTTTTTAAAGCATCAAGTATATACAGAGCACCATGTTTTGATATGGATTTTATATGCCCAGATAGCGGTATATGACCAGAATTTTTATAAATCAAACCACATATTAACATCTTAACATTCTGTTATATGACTATGAAAGAACTTTACAGTGAACACCTATATGCCCACCATGTCCTTGATACGTAAAGGCACTATTCAGCAATAGTTTTCCAAAAGAAATTAGCAAAGCAGACGGACATTCATCATTTTCTGTAATTTGTGCTCATCTTCGTATTCTAGCCTCTCTAGTTCCTTTGTATTTTCTTGCAGAGGAATCTTTATATGAGAGAGAACCCAGAACATGTTTGCTGCCAACAAAATGTAGTTTCTCTTTGCTTCTCAAGGTTGGCCTAGGGTACTCATGGCTAGAAAAGGCGGGAGAATAACTGGACTAGATCAGTGAAGGAAGGCATCAGGAAGATTTGGTCTAGTTGGATAAACTGCAATCCACCACTTTCTGGGATCCCACAGAAGAGACGATTCTATCTTTGGATGCCCATTCCTTACAAAAGTCCTTTTCAATTCATACCCTTTACTATGGGGAAATACGTTGATTATTGAGAAGGAAAATGAGATCTGCTTAACAGATGAACAATAAACTTTTTGACAATAAAAGGAGAGAATCAGAATGCTATTTATGAAAACCAGGCAAGCAATCTTGCCATAGGTAAATTAAAACCCTCTGACCCAGCAATCTTCCCACCAACCCTGGTAAATACGCTGAGATGAATGGGGATGGTGCCCTCTTTCACAGGAATGACCACAAAGTTCTACACAACTTGAGTGCTCATCAATAGATGAATGACTGAACAAATCCTGGTAGAATCATATTATGGACTATCATGTAGCTATTTGAAAAAATGAGCGAGATCCACGACTACTGGTGTGCTGGGAGATCTGTGATGTACTTTTAAGTGCGTAAGCCCGGCTGCAAAGAAACATCTATCTCAGGATCCCATTCTAGTACAAACGCCAAAATCTCCAATTGATGTACTCCATGCCTGCATGTCTTTGCATGTGCACAGTAAAGTTGTGGGAAGATTCAGACTCAGGCTGTTACTGTTGCTTATTCTGTAGAGAGGAAAAGGAAAGAGGAGTGCATTGCTTATTTTGCTTCATATGCCTGTGCATTATCTCACTGATGGCACTGAAAATGTGGAACATTTGTAATTTCTGAAAAAGTTTAATAATTCTTTAAAAAGAAAACTTTACATGGGACTTAGAAGACTGCTCCCCTCCACTGCTTCCCTGGTCTCTCTGCTCCCCTGTCCTTCGTGTCTACATTGAGGGACAAGGAAAGTTATTTCTTGCTCAGAGACTCTTGCCTCCTTTGCTGCAAAACTGTTTGCATGCCAGGAGAGGTGAAGGGTGAAGGGTGATGGAACGGGTAGGGCTTTAACAAGGCTTCATCCGCTTGCCCCTTGCCAACATTCCTGGGAAACAGAAATAACCTACATGGAAAGTCAGACACAGCCCTGTGCATAAACAGCTCCTGTTTGAATAAGAGGCAGCTGTGTTTCAAAATCACGCCTTCATTTCAAGGAATGGGGGAAACTGGCAAGCCCTGTGGTCAAGGAGGCCCAACTATCCAAACTGCCTGCCCCCTGCTGAGGCCTCCCTCCCCCTTTTGCATTTTGTCCTCCCCCCCAAGAATAACAAGTTACAAAATTTCATCACCTTTTGCGCATGCACTCACTACGAGGCCAGCCCTGGCACTCTGCGAGGCATTTTCAGCCATGTCATGTGAAGTTAATGTGCGCCACAACCTCTGTGATAGATAGGCTATGACTGTGTAAAAATGGGATAGGCTGGAGCCATCTTTAGAAGGCTTTCACTGAGTTTATTTAATCCCTTTATGTACCAAAGGCTGAGGATTCCCCTAGTGCTCTCCCAACTACACTTGATGGAAGGCACAGATATGCAGTTCAGAGAAGTTGGCTAGTGCTTAAAAAAATCACACAGCCTTGAAGAGCAGAAATGGGAATGGCTTGTCCAGGACTTGATTTACCCAGAGAAACTTGCAGCTTCCCAGGGTTACTATGGAGCACCTGAGGGGTTCTCGTGCCCAACCTGCAACTCTGTGGCTCTTACACAATCCCAGGAAACCATTTATTCATGTTAGCAATTCCTGACATTGACATAGCACTTTACATTTTGCAAAAACGTTCCCTGTATCATTGTATATCTTATCCTCACAAATCTGATGGAGATAAGACAAGAAAATTACCCCAAGTATATAGATGATGAAACGTTTTCAGAGGGGTTAGGTGACTCATCCAAAGTCATAAAGCCAGGAAATTCATGAGCCAGAACTAACATCTAGGTAGTGAATGAAGGAAGCTACTGTATGTGGTTGCTACACATTTTTTTTTTCTGTTCAACCAACTAATTAACATCCATGCTGGGATTATGAGGGCACAGTATTACTTACGGGTGTAAAACATGGATTTTGTTACTTACCAGGTGGCCTTGGATGAGTCACTGACCAGCTCTGCTGCCTCAGTTTCTTCATCTATAGAAAGTAGATACTTAATAAAACTGCCTACCTCCTAGAGTCATTGTAGAAACTTAGATAACTCATATAGAGCGGTTATGAGAATTTAGGGCATTTAGCGCAGCGCTTGGTACCCTATATTCTTATATTTTAAAATACTTGAGATGCGGCTCTTGCTCACAAGTACAAATACAAAGCAGATATTTGTGAAGCTGTGGAGCCTGCCAAGGTTATTTCGTAAGAGATGCTTTGAGACAGAGCAAATTTCTTCATAAGGACGAGGAGCCCAAAGATGGAAGACACGCTAACAAAGAGGACAGCAATTCTCAGAGGCCATAGTTGGTAATAATCCCTTTGGGGCTGTCTGCTGCCTCTGGGGTCGCTGGAAAGTGAAGCGACAATGGGTTTGCTTGCTTTCATCTGTGCCAAGAAGTGGCTTCGCCAGCTCCAACCCACACTCTGCTGGTGCCACCCTTTGGGGCCGGCATCTTTCCAGTGGGTCAACACCTTCCCTCCCTCTTGTAAACGTAGATGTCAGCCAGAGACACCTACCCCTGTCGCTCCAAAAGGCAGAGGGGTGGAGAGACATGCAGCAATTGGAAAAACAGGGAGGGAGGAACGAATTGGGAATGGGGGCAGGTATGGTACAGTGACAGGAAGAGTGACAAGAACAGATGAACACTGCCTTCCTCTGGATACAGCCAGGTGAAAGCGGTAACCAGCTCTAAAGGACTCAGGGACCAGGGGCAGCCCAGCACTGTAAGTGCACTAAACGCCACTGAACTGTTCACTTTAAAATGGTTAATTGCATATTATATGAATTTTACCTCAATATAAGAAAGAACGCAGGGGCTCACAGCGCCACTGTCCAAGAGAGAATATTTTGCAGACACTGGCCCTGGCCTGGGGTTCAACGAGCCCCTCATGGGCAACGAACACCTATTTGTGTCTCTCCTGTAACCTGTCCTCTCTGGGCTGCCCACTCGTGTGGTGGTAGTGTATGAGTGTGTGTGTGTGTGTGTGTGTGTGTGTGTGTGTGTGTGTGTGTGTGTGTGATCTCTCAGAGCAGCTCCTGTGATCCTTGACCGCGGGAATTTTCTCAAATAATAGCAATAATAACACTTAATCCTTATTAAACTCCCACTCTGAGCCCAGCTTTATTCCCCACAGCAATCCCCAGAGGTAGGGATGATGATCACACCCATTTTACAGATGAGAGAATGGAGCCCCAGGAAGGTCCAGGAGTTGCTACAAAGCCACTCGGTAAGTGAAGCGGACAGGCTAAAAGCCAAAGCCAGGCACTGAAGCTCTCTGCTTCCTGCACTGAACACCTACTCTCTGCCAGGTACCATGGAGACACCAGAAAAGTATAAAGGATGTGGCCTCCGCCCTCGAGGAAATGACAATGCAGATCAGGGAGGGTCTACTGGAGGAGACTGCAAAGGACTATTTTAAAGAGTGTTTGGCTACTAAGTGAATCTACTCATAATAAGGAAGAGCTCAGAGAAGAGCTGATAATAATAGTAACCACAACAATTATGATCATTCACACTGGCTGGGCACTTTTCTATGTACCTGACCTGATTTATTCCTCATGGCAATCCTGGGAGTTCCACACTAGTAGCAGCCTCATTTGAGAGGAAGGGAACTGGGGCTGAGAGAGGTAAAAGAAAGTAACTGGTCCAAGGTTGCACAACCAGCAAGTTAAGGGTGGACTGGATTTGGACTACTCTTTGTTTATACGTAGAAGAAACTCAATAAATCCCCATCAAATGAGTGACTCTCTTCCATCTGTTGAGCACCGGCTTGGCTCTCTATCTCATTTGATACTCACAACCCTATG